CCCTCCACCGCCATCAACACCACAAAGATCACGCACTGGCTAAGCAACAAGACTCCAGCAATCACCCTCGCCAAGGTAGTCACACACCAAAGTCAGTCAGCTCACATGGCTGCCGTTACACTCGGCAAGGTTCAGCTATTCCAAAAGGCACAGAAAGTTCTGACATCCATGCCTCCACCCTCATCACTGTAAGGCAATCTGTACCTCACTCTCCCTTCCTCAGCTCTACCCCATATTCCTTTCCACTCACACCACACTTTCCAAGGCAGGGTCCTCAAGGACCAGCTTAGGTTAAGATTTCTTGGAAAGCATTCCACCCTCCTCTTTGATACTAATCATTGTCTGCGTCTCACTCTCTAGATAGGAGCTTCACAAGGGCAGGGAGTCCATCTGCTGTATTTGCTACCACACACCACCACCCGGATGAGCCCTGGGGGTGGGGGGGAGAACAAGCTTATTGCATTTTTTATTTTTGAACTAGTGAAGAATAGAGTTTAAGAAGCTTCAAGTTAGCAGTAACAAGGTGTGGCTTGTAAATACTTTAAGCTAGTTAACTCATACAATGCCATGGATGAAGAAATGGATGCTAAATTTTATTTTATACATGTGTAACATCACTTAATATTTAAATCTCATCTGATTGCATATTAGCACATTATCAAAAGTATAAAATTTCCTTCTCTAAGATTTTGAAAGATACTGTCAATTACTGCTGAAACTTTTAAGTATTCATGCAGTATGTTTCCCTCTGAAATTCTTCCGCAGTACAGACTCCTGGGAATTACTTGGTTTTGTTGTTTTGTTGGTTGTTTTGGTTCTGGGGATTGAATACGGGAAAGGGGAGTATCAGTGAGCCACTGGGCCACCCCACCAGCCCTCCAGAGGAGTTTTAAAAATATATTTCTTTCCTGGTAAGTATATTTTCTCCCCCATTACCTCCCTTGCAATTTTCATCAAGAAAAATCTGAAAATTTCTTTCCCAAATAAAAGTTGATTTTACCTCCTTTTGCCAATAACCACATTCCACTTCAGGGAGGGCTGTTCCACTGTGTGCCCTGGAAAACGCCTCTGGAAAACCTGAGTGTGGCCTATCGCTAAGGTTCTTGATGAGCCTGAGTGCCTGCGAGGTGACATCCACAGACACTTTTCAGATCAAAATGTAGGCATGGCAGGCAGCACCATGGAACAGGTGTGAGGCTGCAGTGCTCAGGACAAATCTGATTTACTGACTTGTTTGAGTGGAAAAATTTATTTTGAAACTCTGAATGAATCATCATGAACTTCATCAGCAAAAGTGTGCTTTGAAAAGCCTGTCCAAAACCAGGCAAAAATAAGCAAAGCAAGATTCTGGGAAGCATTCTAGAGTCCGAGCAATGTGGCTGTACCTCCTCAAGTGTGTTTCTCCCCATCTGTCACGCCACCTTGACTAAAGTGAACAGTACCGACAGGGTCCCTGGATGGCGGAGAGACCTGTGCAATAAAACACACCGTCTTTGTGACATAAGCCACACAGCATCAAGCTAAGACATGGGGGTACTCTAGAGACCTCAGCCCTGACCAAGCAGAATCTCTTCAAAACCGCGGATGGGGACAGTGGCTACAGCTTCAGGCAGCGCTCTGAGGGCAGAGGAGGCCTCGCGTTGGACTGTGGTTCCTCTGCTTTTAAAAATGCCCAGTTTGTCTCAGATCAGCTCCATGGTTCCACACCGCCCCGAGTTAGAACAGATACACTTTCTAAATGACAATTGAGAATGTAATAAGAACTCTCTGTATTTAGGACAGAAAATCAGCACACATAAACAAATAATTCAATCAGGTGGCACAGCCCCCGCCTCTCAATCTTGCGATCTTTCTTAATTTCCACCTCTGACTCTTCATCAAACCCCCTGGCAAAAAAGATCCCAATAATTCATGCTTTTGCCAAATCCTGGATGTTTCTCTACAAAGCAGTCTTATAGTCTCCAAAGGGACTCTCCCACCGCCCCATGTACCCCAATAATGCTCACATCATTAGTCCTTTCCTGAGAAAAAGTCCCCCAGGAGTTGGTGACCTGATGGCCCCCATTCTTTATCCCTTTTCCAGCCAGTGTCCCTCGTCTCCCTGACCCTTTACGCCACGGTCAGCTCTGCACCCCTCGCCACACAGGAGACAATGGCAATATGCACAAGTGACAGAGAAGGGGCTGGTCTGTTTGGGCTGCCCAGCATGAATACTGAAGCCTGCGTCTTCCAACCCACAGCAATCTGGGCATCCAAGATCAAGGCGTGGTGGGTTCTGGGTGCGGTGAGGGGCTGCTCCTCACAGAGGGCGTCTCCGTGGTGTGGGCTCTTAGTGAAACGTGCAAACGACCTCTCTGGGTCCTTTTTATAAGAAAAAGGCTCCTCCCTCTTACTCATCTCTTGAGGACCCCATCCCCCAAAATCATCATTTTGGGGGATAGGATTCAATATGAGAACTGGGAGTAGACAGGATGCCTCAGTCCATCCTGCCGTTCTGGTTGGCTCTTACTACCAATCCTACCCATTTGAATCCTACTTGGACTTCAGAGCTAAACCTAAATTCTGTCTCCTTAAAGATGCCACTAATAATCTCCAATGAAAAGCATCTCCCAGCCCGTGGGTAGATGCTAACATTTTATGTGTATTTCATGAGACAGTTTTCTTTCTTTCTTTCTTTCTTTTTTTTTTTTTTTTTTTGTCTTTTTCATTTTTATTGGTACCAGGGATCGAACTCACGACTGCCTGCTTGCAAAGCAGGTGCTTATGCCGCTGAGCTAAATCCCCAGCCCCCAAGACAGTTTTCTTTTCTTTTCTTGTTTATTTTTCTGAGGCAGGGTGTTGCTATATAGCTCCAGTCTCACTATGTAGCTTACACGGGCCCTGAACTTGTAGCAATCCTCCTGTCTCAGCCTCCCAAGGGTTGGGAGCCATCACACCTGGCTGAGACAATTATTTTTTAACTGTACTAGAGTTGTCCACGTGCAAATCTATTCTTCCTTACCAGATGAGAAATTCTTAGAAGGTAGGGCTCTGACATATCTGCTTAGCATCTATTTGGAGTCCATGATAGATAACACATAAACATTACATGAATAAATAAGGCATGTGCGTAATAATTTAATAGTTTTTGCTTTACACGAATTGAGGGAAGTTAGAAGTTAATTCTAAAATATTCACCCAGTCTGTTAGAGAAAGCCAACACACAAATGAAACAGAATTGGCCTTCTATGAAATATACACCTTGAAGCTTTTACTTTACAGGTTGTTTGTAATACAACTAAAAGACAGACCCTATGCCAAAGGGAGAATAAATAAAGTGGAATAATGGAACTGATGATGTCTGTCATAACAATCAAAACAATAACGAAAGAGCCACCATTCTATCGTCTTGCTGCTAAGCAGATTGTAAGATTTGGAAGAAACAGACAAGGGAGGCAGAACCTCATTTAAAATTCCCTTGGCAATGTCTATCAGATACCTTAGCAACAGGTGGGGAGTCCACAGCCTTTTAAACATTGAGTGCGGTAGGTGAATTCAGGGGCTTAGGTAAAAGAATCTAGGCAAACTGTAGCAATTCTGTCGCGAGCTACAAGCTATATGCTCCAACACTTCAGGATGGGCGAGTCACACTCTCCAATAAAAGGGGCCACATCATCCCTTTAAAACCAGGCAAGTAGAAGATCATCTTGTGAAATAGATGGAAATCCAAAGGCAAACACTTCTGAGTTCAAACACAGCACACTGCCTTAGATAAGAAGGACAAGAACTCCAGAGACAGTTGCTGAGCCCAAGACTCGCTGTCTCCTCCCACGTGCCAAAGCCTGGGCTCAGGTTTCGGGGGGCAACTGCTGAAACTCTACATCTACCCCCACACACGGCCTTATCACTGGTCCATCCTGCCATGATCATGGCTACTTCTGCCACCAAACGTCACAGCTTCCTGAACAAAACCACACCCAGCACCCGTGGATTTGCAAACCTTTACTTATAAAATCATTTTAAACAAATGAAACCCACCATAAGAAGCACTTAAGAGTCCTTGAGTGAAAAGAGCATGAATTTACTAGACTGTCCTTTTGGCAGAGTGCTTCTAAAAGCAAGACGTTTTATTTTGTGATCTAAAGACTTCAGGACCTTTGAAAGCAAAGGAGTTCTGATGAAATTAAAAGAACAGGTTAGAAAGCAGATAACATGTGTGCATTCTCCTATCAGTGTTCCACGGGTTAAAGAATATCAGTGAAGGATGAATCATTTTTGCATGAAGTACAGAGCACAGTGACCCAGAAACAAAGACACCTGGAAGCTTTATAGTCCTTGGTTCTATGGAAAATCAGAGGCCTTGTCTAATAGACATTTGGAGTAATTTTTCTCAGGGGGTTATTACTATTTGACAGGGATGGAAGAGTAGCTTTTTTAAGATTCATTCTCACTTTGTTTTTGGGGTGGTCGTTTTGGGATGTATTAAGAGGCTGTCACTTTCCCACTCACCTCCCTGTACCTTTTGGAAAAGGACTGAAGCCAAACATGGAGAAGTAGACCTCAAACAAATTACACCTTCAAAGCGCATGTGTGCAGGAACGGAGTTTCATAAAACAAGTAATGAGACTGAATTTACAACAGTAAGTGATTCTGCATGTAACCACGGGAAAACAAAGCTCAAATGATTACAAAATATTTTAAACTCAAGGGCAAGAGGCATCTGTGTGTCCTGACAAAATAGCTCTCTCCTTCTCAGTGATTTAAATAGCTATTATAAACCATGCTTAGAATTCCTACCATTTAAACCATCTAGTCCACCAAAAAGAAAACGGGTTACTGATGTCAGAACTGAGGAAACTATGTGCTGTGAATCTGGGCCACCTCTCGTTTGGTCTTAGGTGTATTTTCTTCTAAAATGTACTCTTATGCCTCCTGTGCAGAACTGGGGAAAAACACTGGGCCTGCTGGCGGCAGCAGGATGCAAGGCGACTTGCTGACAGTGGCCGTCATGAGGTTATTACCATGTTCCAGGGCTTTCATGGGAAACCAGAAGAGGATGAGGGAGTGGACCAAGGCGTTGATGCAGTGACCCCAGAAAACCTGCAGGAAAACAAACCAGGGAGTCAGCACTGCCGGAAATCTCCACCTCTGTGTGTGACTCGTAACAAACGCAGCATTGTGCGGCTCTTGGCAGTGGCTCTGCGGTTCCACGAGGAACATGCTAGCTTCACATTTTAAAAGTCCCTAGAAGCACCCATTTCCTTCTACCTACACACAGGTGACTGGACCATCTCCAGGTAACATTCTTTACTACACAGACCTAAACACACAGCCGCTGTGTGTACACTGACACGCAATCCACCCAGACTTGAGAAGGGGGCACCAATCAGTCGCGGGGGTCATGGGACAGCACCCACAAGAGGAGAATTAGCTCAAAAACATTCATGGGTTCTTTCTGGAAGTGTTAAAAACTATTTTATATGTCAGTTCTTGTACGTATTCTATTTCTTTTACTCCTTAAAAATCCCACCCATTCATTTTTTCTTTCATATTTGAGTGTTTGGATTAATACATGCACATTTAGAACGTTGTTTTATTTAAAAGAATGTGAAGTTTAACTGCTTCAAACTGTAGTGAAGAATGTACTTCAAGCATCTTTTCCTTTTCTCTGTCTTTGTGTGGAGCTGGAGCTGGAGCCCAGGGCTCCCCCCATGCTAAGGGGACCCTACTGCTGAGCCAGACCCCAGCTCCGTCAGCCATCTCCACATGTACTGAGATCAGTACTATGACATTCAATTACATTATTTAAAACTCTAAACTCCTTCTGGAAACTGTCACATGGTCCTAAGTAAAGGGAGCACAACAAAAAAATACCAAACAGCAGCTTCCGGCTGGCTCAGTTCAGGCCTATAGGGCAGCACGAGGCTGGTCCCAAAGCCTTGGGGCTGCCACCCACACTCAGGGAGTCATTCAGCAGGGACCCACAGGCTCTCGGGACACGGATCTCCTCAGAAAGGCACCTCCACTGCACTGGGCTCACTGAGGGCCATGTGGCAGCCTCAGCACATCCCTCTCCAGCATCCGGTGTCTCCCAGGCAGGTGACGTGTACCGAGCCCAGAAGGTAGGGCTGTCCCTTCCAGGTGGCAACTCTGTAACTGCACACAGTTTACCTTTGTGTTGAAGCCTTCGGCGTTCTGGGTGATTTTGTAGAGCTGCGGAAACCTGAGCATGCTCTCCTGAGTGCAAGACCGCTCAAAGATTCCCAGAGTGAAGGGTGGCAACGCGGTGAAAATCTGTGTGAAGACAAAGAGGCATTAAGAGAGCGGCCCTCCCCACTTCCACAGCAGCCGCTCTCAGCTCCTGGAACGGTGACTTAACTTCCAGTCAAGTCTGAACCTGAGACTCTGTCATTTATAACTCCCCGGATACCCTCGAAACAAAGAAAATAAAGAAAGATCACTTTATTACTGTTAATCTGTGTAAAATGAATACATGGAGCGCTTAAAAACATAAATATTTGATGAGCCAAGAAATCTTGTTAAATTACAACTATCCTCCTCCGTAAAGCACGAGAGACGAAGACTCACCCAGTCAGCTCTGGGAAGTGTCAGATCTTCCGTTAGTGTGGGCTGAGGCACAATTTTACAACTTCCCATCCTGTTTTATCCTCCAGTTTCAGGAAGCACAAGGCTCCTCATCCATTTATTCATTCAGGAGATATTTACTGTGAATGAGTTATGGCGCAGATATTGTGGCAAGCACTCAGAATACAGGGACTTAAAAACAGAACAAGGAAAGAGAGGAAGCAGGCTCTGACTTCAGAACTCTGCCTACTGCAGGAGTGGGGACAGAGGGCAGAGCGCCACCGATGCACAGATAAACATATAAAATCCAGGGCTCTGCACAATTTCTCATGTGCTGGGGGCAGGGCAAGGATGGAGGACAGGAAGAGCCGAGAGATGATCCTTGCATCTATAAGAACATGGCTTGCACGGTACTGAACTTGCAGAACTGGGCAGGCTGTTTGGAGATTTGTCACGGGATGCAGGTGCCCTCGGAAGCCTACCCTTGAGAAGAGCACTCCTTTCAGAGCTTGAAGGCAGCAGGAGCACATGAGGGGGAACCTGGAAGACACAGGACAGTGGCCAGTGGTGCAGGGTGCAAACTGGGGGTAGGAGAGAGAAAAAACAACTCCTGGCACTCGAAGCTCTTGGGCAGATGGTGCCTTTGGCAACACAGGTTTTTCTCTGTGTTCTATGCGGGTGTGATGTCTTCATATTCATGTCCCGGAAAGATGGAGCACGTGCTGATGAAGAGATTTGCAAGATTTCAGTCCGGGACATGCTGTGGTCTCTCAAGTCATTGTCCCGTTGGTCCTGGCATGGTTCACAAAGGACGGGTCACTCACTGCTTAGCATCTGTGTCAGTCGCATCTCTACCCACAAAACCAAGAAGCGCTCCAGCTGTGGAACCAACCAGCAACTCGGAAAGAATCCAGAAGCCCAGACATCTGGAGAGTGAGCATCACCTGGCCAGGGAAAGGTTCCTCCTGCAAGCCCTTAGGATCACGCGGTCAGGGTGTAAGGCGGAACCCCCACGCTCTTCCTCCGGGTGAGAGCAGATGGGAAGCAGCCCTGGGATTCCAATGTGCTGCAGGCTTCAAGGAAGAGATTCGGAACTGTCACACTCTCTTCTCTTGCAGTGACAAGAACTTTTATGACTAGATGAAGGTGCTCCTCACACACCTGCGCTTTCCATGTTTTCTAAGCACATAGCTGTCTCTTACCTCTACGGTCTTCTTCTGTCCACCTCAAATCCTCTCCACCCTTCGTCGCTGTGCCCTGCCTGAGCTTTAGTCCTGTTTCCATCATCCCGTGCACACATGCCTGGACTGGTTGGAGGTCATGATTTTACAAAAAGAGGACAATACACACTTTTTTCTTCATCCTGCTTTTCTTAGTAAATAACACTTTGTGGAAAGTCCTCAGCTTGTGGGTTTGACACTAAAGAAGTATTTTTAATGCTCGCACAATAATTCATAACGTGGGTGTGAAATGTTTTTCCAGCCATTTTCCCACTAACATTGGTCCTTGTCACCACAGACATGATGTGATAAGTATCCATGATACGTTATATCACATAGACTTTTTCTTTCAGTATTTTCTTGGGAAGGAGTGCTAGCAGGAGGGCCACTGGGTAAAAAGGAACATTTAGGTTTTTTTGGGTCTTTTTCCTTTTTCATCGGTACCAGGGATCGAACTCACGACTGCCTGCTTGCAAGGCAGGCGTTTTTGCCACTGAGCTAAATCCCCAGCCCCAGGAACATTTAGTTTTGATTCTGTGAGATGTTGCTGGTTACTTTCAAAAAGCATTCCCATTATTTATGTCTCTCCTTACAAAGGACAACAGTAACCTGCTTCCCTTCAGTAGTGGTGACATTGGTGTTTTCATATTCTGCAGTCTGAACATTAAAGATGCTCTTACCTTAAATAATTTACACCCCCCCCCCAACTACCCGTGATGGGAGCATGCTTCTGTACATTCGCGGGTCATCTGGATTTGCAGACGGAATATCTGGGAAGTGTCTAGTCCAGTCAAGCTCATTTTCCTTTTATCTTCTTTTCTAAGAGTTCTCTGAGTAACACAGATCATGATTTGGTCTAAATGCACGGTCTATTGACTTTTAAAATGGTTTCTCTTGCAATATAAAAGCTTTTAATTTTTATTCTATCCATCTATCTATCATCAATCTGTCTGACCTTACTTTTTGTGGTACTGAGTGTTGAATCCAGGACTTGTCGCTCTGAACTGCACTTGCATCCATTTCTTTTTATTTTGAGATACAGTGTCAGTTAGTTGCCCAGGCGGGGTTTAAGCTTGCAGTGTTCCCTCTTCAGCCGTGCTGGGACACAGGCGTGTGTCACTGCACCTGGCTAAAATGCGCCTAAATTTTACAGTAACAGCTTTCAAGTGCCCAGTTGTGCTTATAGAAGTCTAGAACTTAACACGTAGTTTTAGGAATATATTGGGGAATATGTAAGGTTCTATTTTTCACTTTTAAATTTTTAATATATCCAGAGTTTATTTTTCTATATAAGATAGGAGTTCATTTTTTCAGTTGATAGAACACAAATAATTAATCAAGACTTTATCCTTTAGTTGAAAAATTACCGCTAAGGTTTTTAAATCCTTATAGTACTAAAATTCAGAACTGGGATGTCGTTCTAGAATCTCTGACTAACTTGCTTAATTTTATGTTCATAAAAGACTGATTTATTTATGGTATCTTTGATATTTAGTCAAGAGAAGTCTACCCTTGTAATCTTTCCTAAACATGCTTTCCATATGTTATTCCTGGGGAGCTATTAGTTCCTCTTTTATGCTATATAATTTTTGAAGCTCTCATTTCTCCCCACAGTGCCTGTTTGGATTCTACCCAGAATAGCAAATTTATACATTAAACTTTAAAAGAGTTATTTCTTTAGTGATACTAAATCTTCCTCTACAAGGAAACAGATGTCTATTAGTTCAAGTCTTTTATATCCTTCGATAAGATTTCAACTTTTTTCAGATGGTAGTATAGAATTATATCTATGCAATATATAACTTTATTATTTTGAAAGGAACCATTACTTCTTTGGTACTTTCAGGTGCCTACTTTTGGAGTAAAAAATAAAGCTGTTGATTTTTGTATATTTATCATTTATCTACTTGCTTTATCAAATTTGCTTATAATTCTATTATTTCTCTTTCAGATTTTCTAGACAGTTGTCTATAGATGTATGTACATGGCTCTCTCTCTCTCTCTCTCTCTCTCTCTCTCTCCTCCCTCTCTCTCTCTCCATATTTTTTGAGACAAGGTCCTGCTACGTAGTCAGGCTGGCCTTCAACTCACAGTGATCCTCCTGTCTCGGCCTACTGAGTGCTGGATTACACACATGCATATGGGTACTTGGATTATCAGCTGTGACCATATTTTTGCATGCATATTAGTGTAAGTGTAGAAACTGATAATTGCTTTTCCAATACTAGTAGTTATTTAATCTTTTTGGCAGTTACTATAAGTTAAAGAATAATGCTAAATTATAATGTGATAGCAGGCTGACTTGGTAACACTTGACTGATTTCTTAGACTGAAGTGGTTTTAGGATTTTAACATTTATGACAACATGATACTGACTTTTATAAATAGCCTAAATACATTTAATTGATTCCTTTCTACTTCTATCTTTTCAGAGTTCTCATTTTGGGAATGGTAACTGAATTGCTTCAAACACTTTTTGGCGAGTTTTCTTTCTTTTCTCCATATTTCTGTCAGTGCATACTGGTTATACGGACTGATGGCCTTTATTTTGGCAAATCTGTACATGCACATATCACACTTTAATCATCTCTTCCCCTCCCTCCTCCTACTCATTTTATTTTGGGGACGATTCAAAGTTATGATGTATACGATCATATTCATGAACCCTCTTACCCACCCTGTGCTGACGGGATCATATTTTTCTTCATTTTGTTGGCATGGTCATATTTAGAAAACTTTTTAAATTTAGAATGTCCTGTGTTCCTGGAGTAAACCCTACGTGGTCACATATTTTACTCTTTTAGCCACTGTTAAACTCCACTAGTTGATAATTTCTTTAACATTTTTGGGTTTGTAAGTGAGGATTTCTTTTTCAAATCACGCTGTATTGACAACAGGATTTCCTGGAACAGTTTCAGTCACGGTCAGGCGTAGCTGAAATCCCTCTGATAGTGGTAGTTTTTGTGTCTGGGTGGCCTTTCAGTCTCATTCTTCCCCTCAAATTAAATGATACAGAAGTGTGAATTAAACATATAATAATAGTCCCTCCTTAGATAGATGCCTAAAATCTCAGACAGCACCAAACTCTACACCCTGCATTTTTTCCTATCTATACATTATCTATGATAAAGCTTCATTTATGAATCAAGTACAGTAAGAGGTTAATACAAAAACTACTAATGGAGAACAATTATAATAACATGCTAGGTTAAAAATTAAACATAAATTATTTATTTCTGGAATTTTCCATTTAATATTTTCAGAGCATAGCTGGCTGTGGGTGACTGAACCCTTGGGAAGGAAAATCACAGATAAGGGAAACTGATGTTGTGGAAATGTGGCATGAGGGTATTTATTAGCTCACTGCAGGCAAAACTTCTCAGTCTGATTTAATATTATTTAATCTGCTATGAACATTAAATTAAAAACCTCCTATTTGCTACTTGACCTGCCTTGGGGAATCAAAGATAAAAAAGCATCACAGAAAAAGAAAAAGTCAAATAGAAATGCTGCTTTAAGCAAATGGCAAATGCTTAAAGAAAATGGCAAACCTAGAGAAGGTTCCGGCAAATGCTTTCCACAGCACAAACTGCCTTTGCACTGAACCTCTGCAGTGGTCATGGACTGGAAACATGCTGATAAGCATACTGATAAACAAGGCATCATTGGCAACCTTGGAATCAGACTAATACGGATTAGCGATAGCACTGTGTCCATGCTAAAATTTTCTAATTTGATTATTACACTGTGGTTACATAAGAAAAGGTCTTAGCAAACATATACTAAAGATTAAGCAGTAAAGGGGCACTGTATCTGTAACACACTCTTAGCTGGCTTAGAAACTGTGTGTGTGTGCGCGCGCACATGCGTGTGTGCTGTGTGTGAATGCACACGTGCGCACACATGTGATGCACGAAGGTTCAGAGAGAATGCAAATGGGGACAAAATGCTAATAATTGATGAATCTGAATAAAAGCCACATAAGAGTGCTATGTATGCTTTTTGCACCATTCCTCTCCATTCCAACTGATTTTGCATAAAAGCTTCCAAAACAGTTTCCATGGGGAAACTTCCCATTATGGTCTGGATGTGGGTTGAGTGTGTCCCGTAGAGGCTGCCACATGGGAAACATGGGTTCCAGCGTGGAGGTGCTGACGTGCAGAGCCTGTAAGAGGCAGGGCCCAGCAGGTGGCTGGGTCAGAGGGTTCCACCCTCCAAAGCAATGCATAGAAGTAGTGTATTCTCACAGCTGTGAATTAGTTCTCTTAAGAGCGGATTGATACATAAAGTGAGGCTGCCCTACACACTTGTTCCCTCCTGCACACAGCTGTTTTCTTTCTGCTTTCTTCCTCCTGTGTTGGGACGCGGCCAAGGGGGACCTCACAGAACTGAGCAGATGGAGCTGCCCAATCTCGGACTTTCTTCCTCTTAAACCGTGAACTAACTAAACCTCTTATTGTTAATAAAGTGTCCAGCCTCAGATATTTGGTTGTAGCATCACAAAAAGAACTGTACACCTCCTTGTTCCACGACGTTCAACTCTTCCAGCTTGGGAGACTCAAGCCTGCTGCAAAGGACGTTGACTATCCCAACCACAAATGTCTTTCTTACCAGCACCCTGACACCCACTACCAACTGTGAACTCTGTGGCAGCCCAGGGTCTAAGGTCTAATGCGACAATTCTATAACCTTGGTCCTTGCTAGTGCTGAATCATCGTGATGCAATCAGCATCTTTCCCCCAAATAGCTGAGGAAGTTTTAATCTACTCAAAGTAGTTTCAAGTTCTGTGAAGCTAAAATGTGCCCCCTTTAACAGTACACGCAGGCAGACTCTGAAATCCCTGTGTGTGGGGAGGATGGCCAAAGGGGCTTCTTTAGCACATCGGTTGAACCCTGCAGTCACCAACAGTCATCTTTGTCTTTCAGGTCATCAGCACAAACCTGTAGTGCACTTTGCAGCTGCTAATACAGTTAGTAACTGGTCACCACAGCTCAAAGTCAAGATGTGAGTCCAGTCTCTCCAGCATCTGAATCCACACAGCTGTTCCTCTTTGTATGTAAGCTACACAGGAACAGGACATGCTACGGTCTGCAGCAGCTTAGACACAGCACTATGCATAAAAGCTACTCAGAAAAGAGGACTGAGTTCATGGGTGATGTGACTATCTATATACATACAAGTTGCAAATATATACAGTAGCGCCAGCTATTATCAAACTGGATAACTTCCATTTGCATGTATTTATGACGCTTGCTTCAAAAGGTGAACTCGCACAGAGCACCGAATGTCAGGGTTACACTCCAAAACCAGGGGACAGAGCAACATAAGAGACTAGAAGAAATTCTGGGGTGCCCACAGCACTCAGCACTAAGCACCCTCCTTCCTTCTGCCAGTAAAACCAAAGTGAAAATGCGAGTCAGCTACTGAGCCATCTTAGTTTATAGTTGATATGTATTTGCAGCTTTTGAATTTGTCACTGTCAAGTAATAAAAAAATCTTTAAAATCATAAAAAATACAGCAAAGCTGCTGCTTACCATTATTCATGAGTGCTGAAAATAAAAATTCACTGTTCAAGCACTCACTGCAGGGGAAAGCATTCTTCTACAAGGATGGACAGTCTTAAGAAGTCCAGAAAGGATACTAGATCATATATTGCATGTTCATATGTATATTTAAGAATTGAGAAATAAAATTATGAAGTGGAGTAACTTTAGATGTAGCTCAGAAAACTTAACCATAGCTAAAAACACGAAATTATTGTGCAGAGGGAGTAGAAAGGGTCCGTTACCAAGATATACGGGTTAATAATTTCATGGAGTTATTCAAGAAAGATGTGCTGTGATTGAAACCATGTGTGCAGAGCCAGGCTTCCACAGGATGTGTTGCAGCAACAAAGGCCCGAAGATGTATTTGTGCTGCTGCTAAGTACACAGATGATTGACTGAGATACACTTCACAGACATAAACAGTGAAGGAATGTCCCCAGAGCTCTGCACGCTATCAGAAAGGGGGAGAATACTCACCACATTGTACAAGCCGATGCACCAGCGTTCAAATAAAATCTGCCCAGAAAATCCATTAACAAAGGCGAACCAAAGCTGAAAGAGAAGAAAAGTTCACCGAGTTTTATATCAATATTGACCTAAATGTTTCCACTCACTGAAGAAGTAGCCGAGAATGTGGACCACCAGCTGGACACAGCTGCTGAGAATTAACGAGCCCAGGACCATAGGAGCTGTTCTTCCGTAGACTATAAATTTCCTCTGTCACAAATATTAATATCTTATGGAAAATTTTTATTTAAGACATTTCATTTTTAAGAGGTAATACGCACAGGAAAACAATTTAATGTATATCTAACATTGTTTTATGTCAACACTGTCACAAAGACTGGAAGAGTCTCAACTTCATGTTCTCTTTTGCCTATAAAGTTGATACCCGATAGAATTTGTTTTGGTAGAATTTTCAAATATATAAAAATGGCAAACAAAAAAATCTCCCCTCTTGATCATGCATGTTTTTAGTTCATAAAACACTGACCCTTCTTAATTGGATGTCTACTGCCTCAACAAAGGTCAAAATAGTATAAGAAAAACATGTTCAAGTCATCTTTCGGAGTAACACAGGATGCATAAATAAATACATATTACACTGTTCGTGTTTTTAAGCAGTCTATAATGCTAATTGATTAGGCAAATCTGACATAAAAACAACTAAAGAGCAAAGTGCCAAGAATATAATTAGTGTCATGTGACAAGGGAATAAGATAATTTTAGAGAAGGAAAGATCATTCAACTGTGATCAGGAGAAGACGTGGAAAACCGTAAGAATGGAGTGGAAGGATGGCCATCAGGAGAGTGGACAGAAGCCAGACTCAGAAGTGTGCAAATACAGACACATGTAATATAAAATACTATTTATTTAAAATTAAGCTATTTACACATCACAACAGAATTCTGGTGATACGTGATAGACTTTTAAATACCTCCAACAAACCACAGAATCTACTTTAGTTAGTAAAATCATAACAAACTAAATCCATTGGTAGAACCCACCTGGCAGCTGAGAACAAATGCACCACAACCACCCACACGGAAATCAACTCTAGCACTGAAATTTTACTTAGCTAGATTTTTTTCAAAATCAGCTCCTAATTCCTCCAGACCAAACTTCCTTCAGACAGAAACTGTGCTCTACAGCGCTCCGTACGTAACTACACCCATCTGTGATGCTCGGTGTAAATGGAGACTCACAGTCCTAGGGAGGTAAAATTAATTCCCTCAATACAACTGCTACAAGTTTTCCTTACACACAGTTGCACCACACCATTCTATAGCTTAGAAGATGACGAGAACACATTCCTAAATCCAGATTATGCCTGATTTTAAAAAGTCCTATGCACTCTTAATTTTAACTTTCATTTTAAGAGGTCACCAAGAGGCCTGGTGAGGAGATAATGGAGGACAATGACTAATAGCCAAAGCTGCACGCTGTGTCGGCAATCAGAGCGCTCTCACAGCATCTATTCAAATACTGCTGCTCCCAAACCCACAGTTTCACCCACTGCCTCCTCCCACTTGAGACTTAAACTAAAGTTTTAATGCAGTGAGAACGTGGATCCATGTCTGACGGCTGCAAGGGACTTAGCGTAAGTGTCGCACGGTTGTGCTTCACTTCCATGGCCTTCTTTTCAGCCAGTAAGCCAGCAGGGTAGATATCTAGTAAGTATTTGCATTTTATTGCTTAACTCAATTAATTTGTCTCATTGCTGGTGGCACAGTGGTGGTATGTTTAGTGCCTTCTTATCTATTGAAAATAGCAAAAATACAGCAGAAAAGATAGGCCGTTGTCAATAGCTTGTGAGACACCTTAACTGAAACGGTACACAGCCAGGGATATAGCTCAGTGGTGCAGACCTGCCTGGCAAGCACAAGGGCCCGAGTTTGATTCCTGGTGCCAAAAGAAACAAACAAACAAAACAAAAAACACCATATAACACAGAATAGATGCTAATAAATATAAGATTAGATCAAATCAAGACAAAATCTACAGATTACGATAGTGAGGAAATTTTCAAGAAATAAATGAAACAAAAAGCCAGCTGAAACAACTCTGTAGAGGACAGAATATAGAGGGAGGGACAGCACTAACTGACATTCTGGAAGGATTCAGTGCAGGAGGAATGTTTAAACTTAGTGACATGTGCGTACATATGGATTTTTATTTTTTTAACAATCAAGCAGAGAAAATGGATGCAGCAGAAGCATAAATGTCAACCAGGTCTACCCTTTTTATGGCCAACTAATACTCCATTGTGCATATATACATATATATATATATAATTTTTAATTTTATTTAAAGAGGAAAAAAAACCAGAAAAAGGGTACAAGTAATACAGAATTTCAAAAAAATAAACAGTAAGAAATCACTAGTTAATAGATTACATATTGTCATCTTAGAAATTGTTTTTCAAGTTACAAAATTAAAGCAAACAAAGTGGACATTCAAACAGTGAGACTGCAAACAGTTCTGTTCAATGATGGAACAAAAACTCAGTAATATGGTTATCTATCTTATACACTTAAATATACATGCAGTTCTATCCTTTAGAGCACTTTCTTTTCCTCTCTTTTTTACAACAAAATTTACAGATTTTGGGTTTTATTACTCATTTCAGACGCCCATTTTGGATCTTTAAATTTGGAGAGCTCTGATTTTTTAAAAGTTCTTTATATAGTCTAGATGTTAGTCCTTTGTCTGAGGAATAGCTGGCAAACATTTTCCCCTATATTGTGGGTTATCTCTTCACTCTGTTGGTGGTTTCTTTTGTGGTGAAAAAGCTTTTTAATAAGATGAGATTCATGTTGTTGATTCTTTGTAATGTTTCCTGTGTGATCAGGTTTTGTTCATAAAGCCTCTGCCTAAACCAATATCTTTGAGAGTTTTACCTATTCTTTCTTTCCACAGATTTCAGGTTTCTATTTAAATTCAGATATTCGATCCATTTTTATTTGCATGGTGAAAGATATGGGTCTAATCTTTGGCATGTGGAAAGCCAGCTTTTCCAGCACTAGTTTTTAAAGAGGCTGTTTTTCTTCCAGTAAAGTTGCTTGCCCCCTTTGGCAAAAATATGGTGTTTATTGTGTTTGAAGTTGCTTCTGAATATTTTAATCTATCCCATTGATCTTTGGGTCTGCCTTTTCAGTACCATGCTGTTTTTATCATGGTAGCTTTTTAGTATAATTTCAAGTCAGAGATTCTGATGTGCCCTGCCTTACCGTGTTGGCTTTTGCTAACCCAGGTCTCTTTTGGTTCAAAATGAATTTTAGGAATGTTTTCTCCAATTTTGTGAAGTATGCTATTGGTATTTTGATTGTGATTGCATTAAATCTGTATAACACTTCTGTGAGTATGGTTATTTTCACTAAGAAGAAGAAAGGATACTTTTACATTTTCTGATGTTCTCCTTGATCTCCTTTTTGAGAGTAATGTAGTTTCAACATAAAGATCTTTTATTTTCTTCATTAAATTATTTCCTTTTTTAAATGCTATGATGAAAGGTGTTGTTTTCCTAACTTCTTGTACAGTCAGCTTTTTGTCTGTGTACACGATTTTATTGGCTTTTGAGTGCTGACTTTGTATCCATTTATGCTACTGAATTTAGTTATTAAATCTAGAAGTCTCTTGATAGAGTCCATGTAAAGTATCATGTCATTTGCAAATAACCATAATTTCTTTCTTTCTAATTTTTAGTCCTTTTATTATTACTGTTGTTTAATTGCTTTGGCCAATGTCTGCAGAACTATATTGAATATTGGTGGTGATAGTGGACATCTTTGTCTTATTCTTGATTTTAGGATGAAACCTTTCAGTTTTTGACCATTGAATATGATGGTGGCTATTGGTTTGTCATATATAACTTTTATCAGATTGAGATAAAGACCATCTATTCCAGTTTTCTGTAGGGTATTTTTCATGAGTGGATGCAGGACTTTGTCAAATGCTTTCTCTGCTTCTATTCAGATAACCATGTGAGTTTTGTCTCTGGCTCTGTTGATACGATGTATTATATTTATTGATATGTGTATGTTGAACCATCCCTGGATCTCTGGGATAAAGTGTACTTAGTCATGGTATGTAATTTCCTTGATGATTTGTTGTATTCTCATTGCCAATATCTTCTTGAGGATTTTTATGTTTGTTTTTTGGGAGACTGGCCTATAGTTTTCATTTCTGTGTGGATCCTTCTCTGGTATGTTGTCAGGGTAATGTTTACTTCCAGAAATGAATTTGCTTCCTTTTTAGTTTCATTAGAGTTTAAGGAATGTAGTGGCATTAGATCTTCTTGAAGTATCTTGTAGAATTCAGCAGTGAATCCATCAGGACCTGGATTTTCTTTGTTGGGAGGTTTTAAATTACATCTTCAATCTCAGTGACTGATACTGCATTATGTAATTATTTTATATCTTCTTGATTCAGCTTTGGTAATTCTTATGTATCTAGGAACCTGTTCATTTCTTCTGTGTTTTCCATCTTCTTTGAGTACAGCTTCTTTAGGTAGGTACTGACGATCTGGATTTCTGTAGGATCTGTTGTGACTTCTCCCTTTTTATACTTAATTTCATGAATTTGAGTCTTTATGTTCCTTTTCAAAAAGGTTGGCTAGGGTTCTGTGACCTTTGTAGGTAAGTGGATGCACCACACTCTTAAGTGAAATAAATCAGGCACACATGTTCAAATATTGCATGGTTTTCTTTGATGTGAGAAACTGAAAGTGTAAATAAGGATCAAAACGTCTAATAGATACTGTAAAGTGGGAAGAAAAAATGGGAGTGTCTCTCGAGATCCAGCCACGGTGGAACTTGGACGGCTGAGCAAGAAAGCAAGTCACCTCCCTTCCTGGTAAGCAGCCTTGGCGCAAGCCAGGAAGAGAACCAGCCAGCATCTCCCGTGAGCCTACCAGCACGCGGGCTGAGAATCAAACCTCCCACCTCTGCCCTCTTCCTCCTGTTAGCAACTGGGGGCAGAGGTCTGAGCATCTCTTGGGAGGATGACCGTATGCAACGTAGCAAACATGGGGGATTTCCTTCTATCTTCT